GGGGTTGGCGTTCCTTGTGTGCGCGGGTTCCCTGCTCCCCGGCGCTGTCGTGGCATCTTCCACCCTCTCCGGAGCGAGGGAGTAGGTGTGCCAGGTGTTGGTGACCGGTGAGCTGGCGTTCGGCAGGTCTTCGCTTCGGCAGTGCAAAGCTTGGAGTGTAAGGTGTTGCTTTATGGGACGCTTTACAGTTTGTGCACCTCTGTTACTTACAGTGGAGCTGCTAGAGATGCAAAGGGGAACTTTGTGTTTAGAAGGAAGGAGGGGAGATTTGTGTCAGCCTGACTTGCTGGTGGCATTTACTTTGTGGCTTGGTACCAGTCCTGTTGAAATTGTGCAGGGTAGTGGGGACAGCTGGTTCTGCTGTGCCAAGAGGGCAGAGAAGTTCAGCCATCCGTGTCATAGAATCAGAGTGGTTTGGGTTGGGGGTTGGAAGGCACCTTAGAGATCATCCAGTTCCAACCCCCCTGCATGGGCAGGGATGCCTCCCAGTAGACCAGGTTGCTCAAAGCCCCATCCAACCTGCCCTTGAACAGTCCAAGAAGTGAGGCATCCACAGCTTCTCTGGGCAGCCTGTGCCAGTGTCTCACCACTCTCACAGAAAATATTTTTTTTCCTAGGATCTAATCTAAATCTATCCTCTTTGAATTTAAAACTATTACCCCACATCCTACCACTACAAGCCCTTGTAAAAAAGTCTCTCTCCAGCTTTCCTGTAGCCCCTTCAAGTACTGGAAGGCTGCTATAAGGTCTCCCCGGAGCCTTCTCTTCTCCAGGCTGAACAGCCCCAACTCTCCTGGTGTTCTGCATGGTTGCTTCTGCATTCTGGGCTGCAGCTTCTGAGCACCTTGACTGTCAGGATCAAGAGCTTTAACTGAAGTGGGAACCAGTTTGCAGGATTAGGCTTTTACTTGGTAAGGCTGGAAAAGTAGTACTGATGTGTTCTGTGCTAATTGTCAGTTTCTTGGAGACTAATGTATAGTGACTTTTCAGACAGAACGATTGTAAAATCACACCAAAGGTAGAATTAAGGAAGGCCATAACAAGGGATGGGACAGACTTGTCCAGCCAATTAGCAGAGCAGACAAAACTTCTTGTAAACAGAACTTGCACAGGAGCCCTCCTGTATCAAACAGCTACTGTAAGAAAATGCATGTTTGAAAAATAAATCATGTGAGAAAAAGTGTAAATCAGCTACTGTAAGAAAATGCATGTTTGAAAAAATAAATCATGTGAGAAAAAGTGTAAATCTCCTGGAGAAAAATCCTGTCTTTGGGACACATTGTACTGGAAATCATCTTCAGCATTAATTGAAGAAATTTATTATAACAGTCACCATGGCTGATAGTTGAGGTGTAAAAATAAGTTTAAAGTTAATGTAGACAGGCATCTCTTTGCTTCTAATGCTGTCAAGAGCCATGTCTAAAAAGAGCTCTTTTCTACAGCAGTCCTTCTCTGCTTCAGAAGCATTTTCAAGCCACTAGCTGCGTGGACCTCTGCAAACAATGTCAGGTACCTCCTAAGAGGTGTTATCTTTTAAATTGAGTTCTCCTTAGCGCTTGGAATTTAGTGGCTAACAACATCTAACAGGTTATTTTGCATGCTGAAGGTGTCTGGCGCATTAACAACCTGGAGTGTAACCATCAGTTACCTCATTTGGTTAGCTTGGAGGACTGGTGGTTATGTCTGGCAGACTTATCATGCATCTTTTTGGTGAAAACAAGCTCACCTTACTTGATACCACTGCACAGACTCATCATCTTGATTTTAGATGGTAATTATTTCCTCCTGATTATATGAACTGTGCTGTCTGTGCTCCTTGTTAGTGTGGTACTGTAATCCTTTTTCCATCTAGCCCAGCTCTGGTGCTGCCACATTCTTTTGGCTTCAAGAGTTTCCTAGGGCGGTTGCTGGACTTTCCACTTGAATAACTGCTGCTGCATTTCTTTGTGTCAGTGAAATGAGTGGTGAAAAGATATGCACGTCTCCCAGTCCTGCTGGGATGTAATGCTCACTGTGCTGGAAGTTGGGTATATATTGTAATTTTAATTATGCCAGCTTCTCATTTGTTGTTTGAGATTCTGATGCTCAAGCAGAAGTTTCTGGCAGCGCTATTTATATTCAGTCTAAAATATGCTGGCCTCTTACCAATATGTCTGATTTTTCCCTGTATCCTCAAATACTGCATCATCTTGTTAGTTGGAGAGAGAAAGCCATATCATTATTGTGATTTTACAGATTGCTGGAGGTCTGATCTGTGCAGCACCATGGACTCATCAGAAGAGACCGGAGGCTCCTCCGCAGAAGAGAACTACTTTGTGAACTACACCTTCACTGACCGCTCCCACTCAGGCCGTGTGGCCCAGGGTATTATGAAATTGTGCTTGGAGGATGAGCTCTTTGCTGATGTTACAATATCAGTGGAGGGCAAAGAATTCCAGCTGCACCGTTTGGTCCTCTCAGCTCAGAGCTGCTTCTTTCGTTCCATGTTCACTTCCAACCTAAAGGAGGCCCACAACCGGGTGATTGAGCTGCAGGATGTTAGCGAGAGTGTTTTTCAGCTCCTTGTGGACTATATTTACCATGGGACTGTAAAGCTGAGGGCAGAGGAGTTGCAGGAAACCTATGAAGTGGCAGACATGTACCAGCTCACTGCCCTTTTTGAAGAGTGCTCTCGTTTCCTGGCCCGTACAGTGCAGGTTAGGAACTGTCTGCAGGTCATGTGGTTGGCAGATCAACACAGTGACATGGAGCTCTACACAGCTGCCAAGCACTGTGCAAAGTCACATTTGTCTCAACTGCAAGACACGGAGGAGTTCCTGCACCTGCCTCTTCGCCTACTGACAGACATCCTTACAGGTAAGGAGTTCCTGAGACTAGCCAGGATGTGGATGTAGAAGGAGAGACTTTTCAGAGAGTGTATCAGGGATTGAGCAAAATAGGTGGAAAGATCCAAGCTTTCGTAATCACTGTCTGTTCAGAGGCTTAGTTAAGCAAAGCAAAATGTTCTGGATAACTTAATTGAAAAAAAACCAAACCCTATGAACTGGACATAAAGCACCTAAGGTATAGAAAAGGGACATAGAAGATGCTGGTAACTCTCAGCAGTTCCTGAGTCAACAGGTCGGAAGCATTAGGGGTTTTTAAACATAACTTACTAACTTTCAACAACTTGTTGTATTTTTGTTTGTATTAAAAGTAAAACAAAGGGAAGCCTTAGCAGAAATTAACATCTTAAGAAAGTCACTTTTTTCCCCTTCAGTTTGTCATCATTTAACATAGTAACACAATAACCAAATATTTGTAAGAAGGCTTGAGCACAAACAGTATTTTTAGACTATGTTAGTATTATTAACAATTGTATATAATTGTTAGGTTTATCTAGGCTAGGCACTTGGCTGACTGAAATAGAGGCATTATAACATCTTAGGTAATACAGTAATTACCCTTCTTGTAAAGGTTATAGCATTCCACAGTAATGGAGGTAGTGACTCAGGGCTGTGAAGGATGTGTCAACACATCAACAACTGAGTCCCAACTGCCAACAATTCCTGAAAAATTCTCTGCTACCCTAGTAGGTACAGCCAGTATCTGAAAACCACTCCAGGATGCTGCAGTCACAAATCCATTTTCATGCATTTATATGTCATTGCTAGAGGAAGCAAGAATGTAGAAGCAGCTCATACATTCAAATGTTCTGGACCTGGAAGCAGAGAAATTGCTCCTTCTGCCTTAAATTAAATCATTTTGTAAATGAGTAAATAGCTATTATGCTTTGTGTGTCATCTGTTATATATCCTGTTACAGCAATGAACCTACCATGACTGGCTTCTTTGGAATACTGGTAAATCTGTAAGGCTTAAAATAGCCTTTAAAGTTTATGCTATGTATACGAGCATTTTTACAGATACTGCATTGTCTTCTGTTGCATATAAAGAAATTCAGTTAAAAACCTATTGAGATGTACTGATAGCTCAAAAAAACTATGATAAGAGTCTTTTTGATAACTCTCTCTAGCTAAAGTTTTTAAACTAAGTTGTATCTTCACTAAAATAAATAAATCCCTAAAATTATAAAATGAAGCGATAGAGGTCAATCACTCTTAAATTCCTAGCAGGAATTCCATGTAATAACACTATTTTTAGGACTGTGGCCTTTACTGCTTGTGGTTCTAAATTAAAACAATTGCTCAAGAAAACATTTTCCCATGCATCATCTATTTCCATATATAGAATCACATTACTCAATATTTATGCTGAAACTTAGCTTGTGAAATGGATTAAAATCCCAGATAGGTTTCCGTTGCTGGTAGGGGAAATCTTATTGGTTTACAGTTCCTGCATCTTTATTTACTGAATGGACAGTCAAGCAGAGGAAGCTATTAGTGGCAAGGATTTAAAAAAACTTCATGAAGATAGTAATTTATTAGGATTACCTTTTGTTGCACTCTAAGACACATTTAAAAATCAAAGTTTTTCCATTCAGCCACTACATCTGATGAACAGCTGAAGTAAATCTCTTTTACTACTAAACAGAGTTGAAATACCTTCTTTTGTTCCATGCTTTTCCCTGCCAGTGGAGAGAAAAGTGTAGGAATTTGATACCTTCAGCATCATTAAATTTAGGGTTTGTCATGAGAGGAGACTGCAAAATCAGAGAGCCTTCATAGGGAAGCTTCTCAGTGAATACAGGCATAATTGCTGGTGTTACAGCAGCAGGCTGGCTTTCAAACTGGAAGTAAATGCCTAAAATATTCTAGGTAATGTACTGATGATGATGATGCAATACTTTCTGGCATAACCAAAACTTCCAATTATGTCTGGAACCAAAGTTGAAATCTGATGCAGTCTGTGGCATGTTCCCTGCTGTCATACTGCTAAGAAAGGCTGTAGTAGCTCATTGGGGATTTCCAAATGTTAAAGAGGATAGCAGCAACACCAGATGTGCAGTCGAGGGTCAGCTGTCTGACAGTGCTCAGAGAAATAAAATTTCTGCAGATGACTTTTGCTAGATAGGTTTACAGGACCAGCCAGAAAGAAAGGCAGATGCTGAGAGTCTCAAATAAGAGAATCTTTTTGCCACAATGCCTAAATGAGAGAGTATTTTTTGTTATCACAAAGCATGTATGTTCTCTTGCCCTCTTTCTCTTGGACATAGGTTCCTTTGTTGAAATTCATCCAAATTGCTTAAGATTTGGCAGCTCTGTCTTCAGATATTTTCCAAACTGATTTCATGTAGATATCTGTCTGGCAGTGCTCATCATGCCTGCCAAAATCTATAAACGTCTGTATCTCTTAACTCTCTAAAAAGTAGGGTTTGTGGTGGGAGTGGGGGGAGTGAGTTGCAGGAAAAGGATGTTCCTAAGCACATACACCTTTGTCTAGATATCATAAAGGCTTTTCTGTCCCCAAACCACAGATGGTGTTCCATGTTCTCAGAATCCAACAGTTGCCATAGAAACCTGGATTAACTTCAACAAGGAGGAACGCGCGGGCTTTTCAGAGACGCTGCGATCAAGTCTGAAGGTATAAAAAGACCTTGTGTTCCGGGGTTGGTGTAGAGCTTGCTGGTTTCACACATCCCAAGGGAGGGTATTCAGCTCACAGGTGTGACTTGAAAGTCACAAAGCACAAGTGCCATTGAAATTCATGGTGCTTATGTGAGGAATACTTTCAATCTCATAAATAGCAACTCCACTGAACTTTTTTTAATTGAACCTGAGGCTGCTTTCACTAGTGATTGGAGCAGGGCCACAAATAACTTATTTCACAGATGTTCAGTTATCAAAGGGACCATACAGAAATCAGAGTTTAGCATTGCCCTTATAACAACTCTACTCCAGTGGTGTAACCAGTCCTTACCTAAACCACAGACACTTGGGTTCCAGTGAAGTCTGTTGCTGTTTTGCTATGTCAGAGATTACTGGTATCTTGTAAAGGCTTTGAGGCTCTGAATCCTGAACACTGCAGGGTGTGGCAGGACTTGTGAAGCAGAAAAATTCCTGAGCAGAAAAATTTAGTCTTAGGTGTTTGTGTAATCCAGTCCAATTATGCTGGCTGACACACTCCTCCTTTCTCTCAGGTGATTGGAGAAAATGTTCACATCTACCTGATTGGAAAGGAGTCGTCTCGTACCCATTCACTTGCTGTCTCTCTGCATTGTGCTGATGATGACTCCATAAGTGTGAGTGGCCAGAACAGCCTGTGTCACCAGATCACCGCAGCCTGCAAGCATGGTAGTGACCTGTATGTCGTTGGTGGTTCCATTCCACGGCGCATGTGGAAATGCAACAACGCGACTATAGACTGGGAATGGTGTGCCCCGCTGCCCCGTGACCGGCTCCAGCACACCCTTGTCTCCGTGCCCAGCAAGGATGCAATATATTCACTGGGGGGGAAAACTCTACAGGACACTCTCTCTAATGCTGTGATATATTACAGAGTACGAGACAATGTCTGGACAGAGACAAGCCAGTTGGAAGTGGCAGTCTCTGGAGCTGCAGGTGTAAACCTTAACGGTGTCATTTACCTGTTGGGTGGGGAAGAAAATGACTTGGACTTCTTCACCAAGCCCTCTCGGCTAATTCAGTGCTATGACACCAACACAGAGAAGTGCCACGTGAAGCCATACGTGCTGCCTTTCGCAGGGCGCATGCATGCTGCTGTACACAAGGATGTGGTGTTCATTGTGGCCGAGGGGGATTCCCTGCTGTGTTACAATCCCCTACTGGATAGCTTCACCCGGCTATGCCTGCCAGATGCCTGGAGCTCAGTACCATCCCTCTGGAAAATTGCCAGCTGCAATGGCAGCATCTACGTCTTTCGTGACCGCTATAAAAAGGGTGATGCAAATACTTTTAAACTTAACCCAGCCACCTCTGTTGTAACAGTCACAAGTGGCATCAAAGTGCTGCTTACTAACCTGCAGTTTGTCCTGGCCTAAGTGGGAAAAATAGGGTCAGTGATAGGAAGGGCAGGAATGGTGTTCTGCTGTGTAGCTCAGAGGCACCCACCACCCTCGGCACCAGTCCCAATTGCCACGAGCTCACAACATCCAATGAAGATCCCATCCTCTGTACCTGTGCAGAGGAAGTACAGACTTTCTGGCTGTCGGCCTATTCTTTGACATAGTGCTATTAAAGTTGAACTGCTGCATCTTAGATTTCAGATCGACTAAATGCTATTACTTTGATCCCTTGATGGTAAGCTGCTTGTGTTTGAGACCCAAACTGCAGCAAATGGCTTTTTTATCTGGGAACCAATCTGCCAGTAACAAATCCTTTAATACACGGACAATGTCCTCCTTGGCCCAGACTGCTAGTTTTAACTACCTGGGAGACTGTGTTGCTACCACAGAGTTAGATGTGTACTTCGTCCATCAGGGATGTCCCCATTTAAACATTCCGGCGTCCCTAATGCAGAAGGAGGGACTGGCAGAAGTATTTACAGCAGACAGATTCCAGAGCTGACCCAAAGACCTTCAGTAGGTTGCATTATTCAGCACTTCTCCTAGAGGAGTGGTAAGAAACTGGAAACTTGCTTACTGCTCTAGCATAAAGGAGATCCTTTTTATAAGCATTGGCTTCCTTTACTGTATAGGGAATCTCCACCTGTAATGATAACATAGTGTTGGTGAAAGACAGAATTAAGATCATGTCCTCCTACATCTCTCTGTTGGCACTGTAACCATTTGGGTAACAATCTGAATAAAGTCTCCGATGAGACAAAGGGGTTTTTTTCCTTTGCTGCAAATATTATAGAACTTCCCATGGATTGGAATGTGGCTCACCACTGATATTGTGTGTGGGAGAGAAGAACTGTGGGGGTCTAAGAGAACTGAGATATTCACCATAAGGAAAGAAAGCTTTAATGAAACAGCCCAACCTCACCTTTATCAAAATTTATGTAAAAACTTCTTTATTTATGGTCAGGAAGTACAGTGCTTAAACTTTCCGTAGATCATTAAAAAGTAATTTTTTTTTTAAAGCAGCCGAGACAAGATTTTCATAATTCTTACTGACACTATGCAGTTGTCCCAGTGATCATGTTCCTGTGAAATGTCTCCAGGACCTGGACTTGCTTGTGCCGAATGAGGATGTGGGGACGGATCTTGGCAATAGCCTCTATTGCTTCCTGAGGGCTCCAGTGATGCAGCTGAAAGGGCAGAAACCCTGCAAGTGAAAATCTGTTCCATCCCTGTAACAGTTAATGGGGTATTCCTGGCAGCTACAGGCACCATAAGAATTGTTAGAAAACTTGTTGCTTTGCTCGTTCCCTTTACATGTTCCTCTTAGAGGGGCTTGAATGTCAATTAAAGTTCATGAAATGAGTTCCTCAGTTAAAGAGGGATGGTTGCTGCCTGGGACCTCAATTTTCTGTCTCACTCGTATTTCCATCTTGTTGCAAATAGCTTCCTGCCCATGTCCCACCAGACCAGAGCAAATGTGCAGCTTGCTTTTTTTTTTTTTAAACTTTCCTAGTACTCCCATTGCACTTCAGCACTTGGTGAGAAAATGTTCCCTTATCACTGAAGGAAAATTTTCCATTTAATAACACCAACAGAAGAATCCACAGGTGGGATGTTGTTCTTAGTGCTGGCTTACCCAGTTGGGTCTGTGGAGGAACTCAGAAAACAAAAATCACTTCTTTTGATCCTGAACTGTATTTATTGAAAAGCTTAGAAAGCCATTTCAGTTAACCAAGGAGAAAATCTGAGCAACAAAAATGGATGTTCATCTGTTCAGTGAACCTACCCTCACGAACAATTTGTTATTCCCTTCTCAATCTGTTCCTTCATAGAAAGAAGAAGAAGGACAGAATCACTCAAAACCTCTTGAGAACTGACTATATTAGTGAGCTTTCTGAAGTCTGGCTCATCTGCCAGAACCACCAACAGATACTTAGTATCAGACCGGGTGTTTCAAAGCTTTGTTGCAACAACAGTTTGTCATTCTTGTAAGATCAGAACATCTTTGCAAGTGCCTGTGCTAATAACCAAGCTGGGAGAGACAGGCTGTAAAATTAATGAAAAGACTACTTAAAATGGCAGCTTCACCACTCCCTCCTTGCCAGGAAGCATTATTTTGACAGTATCACAAGCACAGATGAACAAGGTGTGCAAATCACAGAATCAAAAAATCATCAAGGTTGGAAAAGACCTTCAAGATCATCAAGTACAACTGTCCACCCTACAACCCCCTAACCACTAAACCATCTCCCAAAACACCACGTCTACCTATTTTTTTTAACACCTCCAGGGACAGTGCCTCCACCACCTCCCTAGGCAGCCTGTTCCATTGCCTCACCACTCTTTCTGTGAAGAATTTTTTCCTAATATTCAATACAAACCTCCCATGGCACAACTTGACCCCATTTCCTCTTGTCCTATCGCTGGTCACCAGGGAGAAGAGGCCAACACACGCCTCAACACAAGCTCCTCTCAGGTAGTTGTAGAGCAATGAGGTCTCCCCTCAGCCTCCTCTTCTCTACACTGAACAGCCCCAGCTCCCTCAGCCTCTCCTCATAAGGCCAGTTCTCCAGACCCCTCAGCAGCCTGGTTGCCCTTCTCTGCTCCCTCTCCAGCACCTCAATGTCCTTCTTACACTGGGGTGCCCAAACCTGCACACAGTGCTTGAGGTGCAGCTGCACCAATTCCGAGCAGAGGGGCAGGATCACCTCCCTGGTCCTGCTGGTCACACTTTTCCTGATGCAGGCCAGGATGGTGTTGGCCCTCTTGGCCCCCTGGGCACACAGCTGGCTCATGTTCATCCAGCTGTCAATCAGCACCCCCAGGTCCCTCTCAGCTGGGCAGCTCTCCAGCCACTCCCCCCCAAAGCCTGTGGCACTGCTGGGGTTGTTGTGGCCCAAGTGCAGGACCCAACATGTGTCCTTATTGAAACTGGTTCCATTGGCCTTGGCCCATCGGTCAAGCCTCTCTAGATCCCTCTGCAGAGCCTCCCTGCCCTCAGGCAGATCGACACCCCCACCCAGCTTAGTGTCACCTGCAGACTTACTGAGGGTGCACTCGATCCCCTCATCCAGGTCATCAATGAAGATGTTAACCAGGAGCAGCCCCAGCACAGAGCCCTGGGGAACACCACTGCTGACCGGCCCCAACTGGATTTAACTCCACTGATCCCAGCTCTTTGGACCTGGCCGTCCAACCAGTTTATGATGCAGCAAAGTGTGTGCACATCCCAGCCACGAGCAGCCAGCTTCTCCAGGAGAATGCTGTGGGAAGCCTTGTCAAAGGCCTTGCTAAAGTCAAGGTAGAGAACATCCACAGCCCTTCCCTCATCCCATAAACAGGTCACCTTGTCGCAGAGAAAGATCGGGGATCAAAGATGAACTAGATTATCAGAGAGCTTAGATGGTAGTTCAGGAAACATTAAGTTTCACTAGTGTATTTACCTTGCATTTGAGCCACATTGTACAAAACAGCTATATAAGTTTAGGGCCTAGCTCTCTAGCTCACTTCAAATGTGTCTCCAATCCAAACTCTGTGAAATCATGTAATATTAATGCCCCTGTACATGCTCAGGCTTCTTGAGAAAAAGCAAGCTGTAAAGGTTGGGTGCATTCGTCCACACTGTATGAAAATAAACCCCATTTAGCATAGAATCTTTCTTACTTGAATTAAATATGCTGCCACCATGGTGGCACTGCGGGAACGCCCTGCCTTGCAGTGCACATAGACACTGTTACCGGAGGCTCGATGTTTCAGGATGAATTCAACTCCCTTGTGGAGGTTTTCCAAGGCAGGCACTCCGGTTAGATCCACAGTGCTGAGACGCAGCTGCTCCACGCCCATTGCCTCCCATTCCTGAAAGGGAGAGAGCAGATGTGATCAGCTAACTTTCTGGGTTTGTATCCTTGTACCTGCACAGCGGGGTACGGGAGGTTAGTGCTCCCCTTCCTTCTCCCCCACTGAACCTCCAGCCCTTGATTTGCACCCTCACGTGCTCCTGGTCTGTCGCACAGTTTTAGAAGCCAAGTTACGAAGAAAAAAGCCACTTCTTCCCTTTCAGAGGGCTCGGCGGTCGCCGCCAGGATCACGGCAGGGGCGGTTCGGGCCTCACCTGCGGCGGGACAGGCAGAGACCCCTCCCGGGAGCGCCCGCCTCACCTGGGCAGAGCAGCAGAGGAAGCGGGTCTCGTACTCCTCGTTCATGGTGACCACGGCGCGCACGTTCTCCTCCGCCACCAGCTGCGGGCACAGGCACCGTCAGGCCCCGTCA